GCAGAGACATCCTCTGTTGATGAAGCTGATAGTGGACGAATGGAGAGGCTTGTGGAGCTCCGTTCGCAAAAAGGATGAGACTTCCTCGTCAATAGAGCTAACAGCCACGCTTTCTCTCGATGGTGGATGAACGAGGAAGACGGTGGAGGATCAATGGTGGATGGACGAGGATCTACAAGGCATCCACGTGGAGTAAAACAAACGAAAAATATCGCTTATATATATTGATATTTGACAATGTTAATTTTTATTATCAACAAAATGGTGATTTATACATTTTTAAAAGTTGATTTAAACTCAAAAAAAAAAATATTGTACAATTTAAATACTTTTAAAAAAATTGAGGGTGAAATCCAAGTATTTTGGCATATATATGTATACTATATTTCTGTGTGCAGATAACAACCGCAAGGAAGGCGGTGACTTTGTGGCTATCATACTTGATATTTACAAAGCCATTGACTGAACAGCACGTCACAGGACTGCTGCTGACAGCCATGGGAATCATATTGAAGATGGTGCCAGATCCTAAGCCCTCAACCAAGGCTCCAAGCTCCTACAACACTGTTGTTAAGCATGGAAGTTCCTCTTTCATTCAAGACAAGAACCAGCAAGAAACTAGCCTACTAGCTCAAGAAGAAGATGAAGAAAAGAGACCGTTTGTGTAAAAACTCCTTCCCCAACCCCCACGAATATCTCAATGCGAATGGTTTTTTATTTTTTTTCCTTCTATTTTTTAAATATTAAATTATACATTTTTTTTATTTTTATTTTAGTTATAAAGGAATAATGGAATGCTAAAATGGTCTTTCAATATAAATGGTATATGTTCTTTTTTACATATTTATTTTATTTTTAAATAAATGTGAAGAAATTATCAATATGAAAAATAATAATAATAATAATAATAATAAATGATAAAACAAAAAACTTGTTAAAACTTTATATTTTATATAATTTTTTTATGAATTAAAATAAGATATACTATGCATAAAAGTTTTAAATTTTTTTATAAAAATACAACATGAATTTAAAGAAAATATATATAAATTCTATCTATTATATGTGTGCAAAATATGAAAAATGTGTAAATCATTCTTTATAAGGGTTGTACACATATTGGGGTCGTATGAGAACTTTGTCAATTTGGATTGGATAGTTTATTTAATAATATAAAAATAATATTTTTTTTGAAGTTCTTAAATTAAGTCAGAACGGGTTTTTTTAGGTAATAATTTTTTCAAAGGTTTATGACGTAATAATTTTTCAAAATAACCTTTAACCGTTTGCTGCAGCGTGTAGCCAAACAGTGGTGGTGGTGGGACCCAGAAATGAGCACAGGCAACTCTAAGGCACATGGGCCACGTGGAGCTGAAACAATAGCCCCCCCCCTCCGGAACAGAATCCAACGGTTCAAATTGAATGTTTTATTTCCCCAACTGATCGTACGGTCACAATTGGCCCACTATTGTTTCAATCACTCGCTTTTACTTGCCCTATTAAAAAGTCTCCACTCTTTTTGTGCACGGAGTGGCTTGAATAAAGAATCTAAAGAAATTTTGAAAGAAAAACCCTAACGTTTAATACTCTTTTGCAGTTCTTGAAAAAGAAATTTCAAATCCTTCAGCGAGACAGTTCCCTCAAGAATGAAGGGAGCGAAACGTTTCGCGGCATCGGACTCGGCTGCGGATATGAATGACTCGGTTGTGAGTTTTTCCTTCGACAAATTAATTTCCTCCTTTTAATGTTTTCTGAAAGCAAAAACCTGGAATAGTTTCTTGCTTCACCTTTTCTCGGTTTTAAAATGCATAAATGCATAAAGACGCTGGTTCTATATTCATACATACGTATACTATATATATATATATATATATGTCCCGTTGTTTTTAGCTGTGGCGGGTAGCTGGAAGCTAGCATAGAAGATATATCTTTTTTACTATAATATATTATAATGTGATTGTTTGACTTGATTGAGGAGGATGTTTAAGTTTATATGAACTTCAGATTACATTTCTTGGCTGGTGTTCCTATATTGGGATTAGTATCGCAGAGCAAGTATGTATATGTGGTATTGTTTGCGTGAGCAAATGTTAGCAAGTTGATATTCTGTGTATGTGGTTCTGTAGCTGTTAGTCGATTGTTTTTTCTCAAAATCACAACATCACCTCTATGGTTAGTTATATATTGGACGATTTTTGAGGAACAAACAACTAGAAAGCTGGGCGAAACAAAGAAAATCAAGGATAGGTGTGAAAAAGCTAATCACGTGCTCTAATTTGGACGGTTATGATATTTCTGAATAAGGTGGAGAAAGGAAAGCTATACATTTCCCTTGCTCGCTAGGTTGCGGAACAAA